AGGTGTTTTGTTCCTGTCCTGGAGCCCCAGATTTGGGGTTTTGTGTGGTGGGGTTTTGTGTGGTGGGGTTTTGTGTGGTGGATCTTCTGTGGTGGATCTTCTGTGGTGGGGTTTGGTGGGATTTTTTTGTGGTGGATTTTCTGTGGTGGAGTTTTCTGTGGTGGATCTTCTGTGGTGGGGTTTGGTGGAATTTTCTGTTCTGGGGTTTTCTGTGGTGGGGTTTGGTGGGATTTTCTGTTCTGGGGTTTTTCTGTGGAGGGTTTTCTGTAGTGGATTTTCTGTGGTGGAGTTTAGTGGGGTTTTCTGTGGTGGGGTTTTCTGTGGTGGGGTTTTCTGTGGTGGATTTTCTGTGCTGGGGTTTGGTGGGGTTTTTCTGTGCTGGGGTTTTCTGTGCTGGGGTTTGGTGGGATTTTCTGTGCTGGGGTTTGGTGGGATTTTCTGTGGTGGATTTTCTGTGGTGAATTTTGTGTGGTGGGGTTTTCTGTGATGGGATTTGATGGGGTTTTCTGTGGTGGGATTTTCTGTGGTTGATTTTCTGTGGTGGAGTTTGGTAGGATTTTCTGTGGTGGGGTTTTCTGTGGTGGGATTTTCTGTGGTGGTATTTGATGGCGTTTTCTGTGGTGGGGTTTGGTGGGATTTTCTGTTCTGGGGTTTTTCTGTGGTGGATTTTCTGTGGTAGATTTTCTGTGGTGGGGTTTTCTGTGGTGGGGTTTTCTGTGGTGGGGTTTTCTGTGGTGGGGTTTTCTGTGGTGGGGTTTTCTGTGGTGGGGTTTGGTGGGATTTTCTGTGGTGGGGTTTTCTGTAGTGGGATTTTCTGTGGTGGGTTTTCTGTGGTGGGGTTTTCTGTGGTGAATTTTCTGTGGTGGGATTTGGTGGGGTTTTGTGTGGTGGATTTTCTGTGGTGGATTTCTCTGTGGTGAATTTTCAGTGGTGGGGTTTTCAGTGGTGGGGTTTTCAGTGGTGGGGTTTTCAGTGGTGGGGTTTTCAGTGGTGGGATTTTCAGTGGTGGGATTTTCTGTTCTGGGATTTTTCTGTGGTGGGTTTTCTGTGGTGGGTTTTCTGTGGTGGGTTTTCTGTGGTGGATTTTCTGTGGTGGGATTTTCTGTGGTGGGATTTTCTGTGGTGGGATTTTCTGTGGTGGGATTTTCTGTGGTGGGATTTTCTGTGGTGGATTTTCTGTGGTGGGATTTGATGGGGTTTTCTGTGGTGGGTTTTCTGTGATGGATTTTCTGTGGAGCTGTTTGCTCTCCCTGCACAGAGCTTGTGGGGAGCTGCACCACATTCCCCCTTAAATACAGGAATGTCTAGTGCCCAGGGAAAAACCACCAGGGGCTGTTTTTGGGGTGGTGTGGATGCAAAGCTGGGCTTTGTGGCCACCCCTGGGAGGAGGCA